TTTGACAGAATTTCTATTTATGTCTCCTATATGAAAAAGGGAACTTTAGGGCTGATCTTTTATTATTTAAAGGGGGTCCTTTACAACATTGAAAAAGATCATCATACAGGGGAGCTTGAGGCTGAGATCAGAGAGGAGCATTCAAAAGAAGGAAGGGATTGATCCATGGCGGTGAAGATGTCTTCCTCAACCATGAAGATTTCCACTCCAATCATGCTTGGCTAAACGCTTTGCTAGGGTTGTGATGTAGCATTAGCTTAGCACATTGATTTGATTGTATTTAATTCTTGGAGAATAAATATTATCATCCATGATTGTGTAATTTATATTGTTTTTTAATTGAATTTTCAATAAGAATCGGTTTTAGAGTTTTAATTCAATTACAAGTATTTTTCTATCTTGTCTTAGATATTTTAATCTTATAGTTGTGAATGAGATGATTACACAATGGTATTTCTCTGAATATAATGTTAGAGATTTGATGGATTATACCTAAAAAAGATAGACCATGCTATACCCTAGAGTAAAGTAGATAGGTAAATACCAATCAAAGATAGTCCATACTTAACTTTAAATTATACTATTTTCTAGCTGAATTAATATGTGCTTGTAGCCATGATTAATTTCATGTGCATGTTATATCATATATCTCCAATAAATTGATGCAATTGACTAGTGGTGCGACGTCAGTGGTGAAATCATACCCCTAGTTCTCTCTCTCTATTTTCTACATCCTATTTAATTATTGCTCTTTATTTTATTTTCTATTTAGTTAATTTAGAATAAATCATTAAAATTCGATTATCCTACTTTCAATTTAATTTGGAATTTAATAAATCTGTTAACAAACTTATTTTTCACAAGTCCCTTGAGTACGACACCCTTACAAGTAAACCCTATCTGCAAAGATTCGTGCACTTACGAGTGGTACATATAAATCTCACAACAGTTTTACTTCCGCATTTGTTTTCTTTTATTTCTGTGACTTCATGAAAAGTCACCATGACGTCTTAAAGATACCAAACATCCCCATAGACCTTATTTTTGTTTTCACTTTTACATTCCGTATCCGTTATCGGGTTAACTTTTGGGTCATATTAACTATCTGGGTTTGTGAAAATTTTGAAACGTCACAGAATACGTGCATCCCAAACTTAAAGTGAGAGTTGTTTGAGACTTAAGACACTCATTAAGTATCACAATTGTAGTGGAATTCAACAAATCATCAAGCAACATCGTCCTACATTGCAAATAGGTATTTGGAGCAATTAAAGATAATCCAAATTGGGAATTCAGTTCAATGAGACAAACTGTTATAAGGGAGCTGGCAACTAATGTTTTTATACACAAGATTTATAGGGCAAAGGGAAGAACAAAAGAAATGGTTGAGGGGAACCATGGGAAATAATATTCAAATCTTAGAAAGTATTGCCAACTAATTCAGGAAACCAACCCAAGATCAGTTGCTAAGATCTCCAATTACCGTAGTGAGACTGAATGCAGAAGATTCAAAAGACTGTTTATTTCTTATGAGGCCATGCATAAATGTTTTAGGGAATGGTGTAGACCATTCATTGGTGTTGATGGAACTTTTTTAAAAGGGCCTTTTGGTGGACATTTGCTTAGTGCAGTTGGGATTGATGGAAACAACAAGATGTTCCCTTTGGCTATTGCCATTATTGACGCTGAAAATAGGGACTCCTGGTCATGGAAGAATTGATGCAAATTGTTGGTCCCCCACATGGTTTGACATTTATGTTTGATCGACAAAAAGTGTTTTTTTTTTTAATTAGTGTTCTAACTAATAAAAATATTTATTTTTAGTAGGTTAATATATCTAACTGCTAAATAACTTGTATAATTATTTCAGGGTTTACTTCAAAGCTTTGAGGATGTCTTGAAAGTGGCCGACCACAGGTTTTGTGTTCGACATATGTATGAAAACTTCAAAAGAAATTTAGAGGATTGCAATTGAAAACTGAGCTATGGAATACTGATAAAGCTTATGATGAGGTTGAATTTAACAAGCATATGCAAAACATAAACGATATAAATAGTGATGCCTATGATTGGCTTGTGAAGGTACTGTTCCATCTTTGGGCAAGAGCAAATTTTCTAACTACTTCAAAGTGTGATTTGGTAATTAACAACATGTGTGAATCGTGGAATTCTATCATTCTAAAGGCAAGGGAGAAGCCTGCGATAACCATGTTGGAGTGGATTCAAAAGCATCTAATGAGGAGATTTCAAAAAAAAAAAAAAAAAAAAAAAAGATCTATTATGTCATCATACAATGGATTGGTGTACCCTGAGATATAGAAGGAGTTGGATAAATATAAGGATGCATTACTGGAGTATATTATTGATTTTAATGGGGATTCTAGGTATGAGGTTGAATTTAGGGGTAAGAATGAGGATGTGAACATGGAAAAGGAAACATGCACTTGTAGGAAGTGGGATGTGAAAGGTATCCCTTGCCAATATGCTATTGCTACCATACTTTTTAGAAGGGAACAACCAGAGTTTTATGTTGCTGGTTATTATCTTAGACAAACAAACCTTAACACATATGCCCCTACTATGTATCCCATGCCCCTAAAAATGATAAGTAAATATTCCACAAACTTGATCCTTCCACCCCTGTACCCTAAACCACCTGGAAGGCCCAAAAAAGCTAGGAAGAAAGCAAGTGATGAAGTTATAAGACCAACCAAGCTTAGTAGATCATATGTAAGTTTGAAATGTACTAAATGCTCATAATCTGGACATAATGCAAAGAGTTGTAAGTCAACTGAAATCGTTGTTAGAGAAAAAGCCCCAAAAGGTAAAGGAGGTAGACCCTGTTTGATTAAACCTACTTTTCTTGGGATTGGCACTAGTATTGACATAAGAGATCTGTGGCAAGTTGAGGTATGGTGCAACTAAGTAATCTCTAGCAATATATATTTTTAACTAACTCTTTATCATTTGTATAATTATATTTTTACTATTTAATGGTAGGTGAATAACAGAAGAACAACTACAGTATATGAAAATGGAAATGGAGGTTTAGTTGCATCAATAGGGAGAGGGAGAAGAAGAGGAAAATGAAGAGGTGCAGGAGGGGGGAGATCATATTCAATTGGAGTTGCAAACACTCAAACTTCAGTGGTACAAGACGTTACAAACACTCAAACTTTAGTGGCACAAGAGGCTGCAAACACTCAAACTTCAGTGGCATAAGAGATTGCAAATGGAGTTAGAACAAGTAGCATAGGAGGTTCAGTTGTAGATTCATTAGCAACAAGGGATGGAAGAATAGGTGGTCTACTTCGAAGAAGTTTTGAGGTACAACCTGAATTTAAAATCTTCTTTGTTTTTTTAACTTGAATTTTCTTGCTTGTTATATTAATTGTTATAATGAAATTCATTTGAATTACATCATAATGGAGTTTGAACAAGTGGCATGGGAGGTTCAGTTACAGATTCATTATCAACAAAAAGGCGTCTGGTTGGAACAGGAGGTGGAAGAAGAGGCCTGTTAGTATTGGAACAAGAGGTGGTCTACTTGGAAAAGTTCTAGCTTCAGTTGGAGGTCCAAGCAAATGAATTTCATGTGCTTCAATTATAAGGTTGATGATGACATTTTTTGGTTATATTTTTTGGACACGTGTTTGTCAGTAATTGATGTAATTTGATGTGTAATATTTTAGTTATGAATGTATTGGAGTGTTTTGGTAAATAGGTTGGATTCATTTATGTTAGATTCATTTATGCTAATGAATGCTTGGACGTGTGTTATTGCCGGTTATGGTTGTGAGGATAAATTATTTGGGGGCAAAAGATTTCTTGTCAATTATAGATGTATTGAAGAAAAAAAAAGTAAAGATCTATTTGAATATTTTTGTAACCAGGTTGCATTCAATTTGTTACTGAACTATGTAGGATTCAACAAACAAATTATTTGTTTTTCACCAAAATCAATTTAAGTTGAAATTTGATAAATGACTACAAAATTAATATATATATTCTAAGCACAAGAACAATTGGAAAGAAAAATAAATAATATCAGATGTCTTGTAAATCTTGTTGCTATGGAGGAGTTTGTTATACTTAGAAGTCAGAACATGTATTTGGTCCATGCATTATTGCATTTTCTGTAACTGAGGGTACGTCTTTTCAGATGAAGCCCTAAAGTTTCTAACGATACAGTGTGATGGGTATTTTAGGTAATTTTGTTTGCAAAATTGATGTTTGATATGGAGGGCAATTTTGTCCGAAATGTTTTCTTACACAGTGATTGAAATGGAGGTTGGTTAATTTGGCCCCCTCATGATAGTTGAGGGGGGTTGTTTGTTAAAATATTTTATAAGAGGGTTTTTTGCTAGTAGGTGAGAGTTAAGGGGGGTTATTTGTAGTTCACCCTAATAATAATATAATAATATAGTAATAGAAAATAATGAAATTCAATAAATGAAATCTAATTATCTATATCTATACTAATTTTTATATTAAAAGTATAAAGAGTTTTATTATTTCAGTGTTTTAGTATATTAATTTATTTAATAATATAGTAGTACAAAAAACTAGTATTAATAATAATATTATGGTAATAGAAAATATTGAAATCTATATCTATATTATTATTAAAATACAAGGAGTTTCAGTATTTTAGTGTTTCAGTACATTAATTTATTTAATAATATAATAGTACGAAATATTAATAATAATAATATAAAGTACAAAGAGTTTCAGTACATAAATTTATTTAATAATATAATAGAATGGATAATTAGAGACTAAAATATTAATAATAATATAGGAGTAAAAAACATTGAAATTTAATAAATAAAAATTTAATTATCAAGAAAATATATAATATTCAGAATTTTATTTAATAATATAATAATATTCTCTTTGTTCTAAAAATGATATCTTGTTTAGAGAAACGTGAGTCACTTTTTAGGTGAGAAATAGTAATATACATGGCGCACATATATTTTACTAATTCTTTATAGAAAGCAAAATGTAACCCAATAAGTTGTGTTATGCATGAATCAGATCCATTCGCTCACTCCCCAACTACCAAACCGTTTGCAATTTGGCCGGCGCGTATATTAATGGTTGTCTACACCCTAATCAACATTGTTCAAGAGAGAGATCGAAATTGGCGCCCCTTTTCTCCTTCTGTTTCTCTTTCTAGAAGACACGCTCTCTCTCTCTCTCTCTCTCTCTCTCTCTATCTCTGTTTTCCACGCATATTCTAAAAAAAAAGCTTCCTACTTTTTTTTTGCCATGTCTTTTCGTAGACGAACCTTGCTCAAGGTGATTGCCCTCGGCGACAGTGGGTATGATATAAATTATATATATATTTGAAAATTTTGAAATCTAGGGCTCGTTTGAAGACATTTGTACCTTTTTAGTTGTTGATTCTCGTAATAATTTTTATTATTAATTTTTAACTTTTTCGTCATTGTCAGGGTCGGTAAGACTTCATTGATGAATCAGTATCCTCCAAGTAACGGGTTATCTGTAGGATGTATAATTCTCTGTATATTTGTATACATATTCCTGAATTGTTGGAGCGTAGTTTCTGTTTTTATTTAGTAGTTCAATTCTCAAATTTGTATATTATTGTCATGTTTTGTATATATTTTTTGGATTCCATTGTTAAATTTCCATATTGATTACTCCCGTTTTAAAAATTATAGTTGAAGTTTACAAGATATGTTGTTCTTGATCCAACTTAAGGCACCGTTTGGATTGGATGGCTTTGCAGAAGCACTCAATATATTCATCTATTTTTTGCTTTTGAAAGTGAATAAATGTTATCTATTTATTTAATATGTTTTGTTGATTACAAAGGTGAAAATGGGTAATGTCAACTGAACAATACCTGAGGTTATTGAACATGTGTTTAACAAATTAATATTTGTGGGTCTTTAACTGCTTATATGGATATGTACATAAGAAGTTTAGTCAGCAATATAAAGCTACAATTGGGGCTGATTTTGTCACCAAGGAACTGCAAATCGATGACAGACTTGTCACTCTACAAGTGGGTTCTTAGTTCTACTTCTTCTTTTCTCTGGGTTCAGTTCTGATTTATGTACAGTATTCTTGACAGGTCTGTTTGTACTGAGTGATCATAAAATAATGTATGGTTTGCATTGGTAGATATGGGATACAGCTGGGCAGGAGAGATTTCAGAGTCTTGGCGTTGCATTTTATAGAGGGGCAGATTGCTGTGTTTTAGTATACGATGTTAATATCATGAGGTCTTTTGATACTCTTGACAATTGGCATGAAGAGTTTCTCAAGCAGGTAGGTGGTATCCTTTCCTGACTCTTTTAACTCATTACTCTTTTAACTCATTTTTTCTTCTTCCTTTTTCTTTTTTCTGGTAAGTAAGATGTATATATTAATATAAGATTGTTAATACTACTATGGAGGATCATACCTCCCTAAAGACAAGCTCCAAACAACTAAGGCGAGAGAGAAATCATAGAATGAGTCGAACTATAGAGAATAGGACAGCAACAAAATTACAATTAGACATGGGGATAAAAATATCCGGACTCTTTTTGCTTAAGCCTTAAGACCTAAAAACCCAGACTAGTTCCAGGTACACTTTGGCAACATCCATTTATTCAAGACTATATTTTAAGAATCAAAATTTGAAGATTCCAGCTTGCTATGAATATTTATTTTGAGTAGAAGAAGCATATTCACAAGCTTCCTTTAATTAAATCACATTATTACAGAGAGCAGATCGCTCCAGCAGCCATGGACAATTGCACCAAAGTCAACAATATCTTCTTTTAAAAGAAGAGGCAATTTTGTCCACTCTATCCTCCTAATCTTTTCAGAAGTAGGAAGTCCATGTCCTTCTTCACATATCTTTTTGTCCCTATGTTATTTTTCCTGAATATTTTATTCAATTTTGTATTAGTCAAATTTCTTCCATTATATTTCTCGTATGCTATAATCTAAACAAAGGCTAGGCATAGATTAAATATGCACATTATGTGTTAGTACAAGATATCCACACATTGGTATCCGAAAGTCTAAAGCAAATGAAGTTGTTTTAGATTGGCATCTGCTTTTAGTTGGAAAAAGAAATAAAAACAAAAATAAAAAAGTGTCAATTATAGGTAATTTGGTTTGAACGAACTACTCTTCATTGATTCCTTTGGTGTTCAAGCTCAAATAGACCCATAGTCTTGAACTTGATCTTCAATATTTGAGTTCTATTGGCCATGAGCTTAGATCCAAAAGAGTTTGTTTATTTATCCATGAATCTATACATACTTGAATTTATAGAAAATCCTGAAATTGATCACACTCAAATAGAATATCAAATTCTTACATTAATAGATTGTTATCATCAAAATTACAGCAAACAATACTTTGATAACAAGTTGATGCAAGAGAGGTAGAGTTGTATTTAGAAACAGAAAGAAAGAAGGGAATGAGAATGAGAAGATGAGATGAGGCTAAAAGATGAAGGTGAGATGACAGAAGCAGGGGGTGAGAACAGAATGAAATAGATAGGCTCTAGAGACCGAGGGATTGAGAACAACAAGAACTATGAGAGAGAACGAGATACAAGAAGAGAGTTTGCAAACTCACAATAATATCAATAATCCAAAGTTGAATTGTTTGATTACATACGAGCCTTTATGTAGGCAAATTATTAAGCAATTATTTTATTTTTTTTGATAACTAATAATTGATTAAAAGGCGTTCAAAATGGGAACGCGTCCCTTATACAAAAGTGGAACCGGGATCTAAGGACCCAAAGAATCCAAAAAAATGATTAAGTCATTGGAAGAGGAGCAAGAACTCCTCTTCATGTAAGTAAAGATAGAGTGAATAATATGAAGTTTCAGCATCGTCATGGACGACTCCTTCCCTTTGAATATTATGCTATTCCTCTCCTTCCAAATGCACCACCAAACGCAATGTGGAACTGTCCTTCAATAGTCGCGTACTCTGCTTCTCACACGACATCCCCTCCATGCATTAATCAGGCCCTTAGAAGATCGGGGCATTACCCAAAACATACCAAATAAGCCAAATGTAAGGTTCCAACAGTCGTACGCCACAGGGCAATGCAAGAGGAAATGATCCACTGACTCACAACACCAATTAACAATACATTTTGCCTTTCTTCCTCAAATTGTCAATCGTTAAAATCTTGCCCCATACAATAGTCTATACAAAGAATGCCACTCTAAGTGGAGCCTTAGAGCGCCATATGGTCTTCCTTGGAAAATTAGTGCCATCAAAGTTGGATAGGCATAGAAACATGGACCGTACTTCGAATCGACCTTGGGAAGAGTGGACCCACGTAAGATCATCACTATCTCTACCAACTGCCTCCTATTGATACAACAAATCCAAGAGAACACATACCTCGTCTATCTCCCAATCTTGAAAAGAACGCCGAAAGCGTATGTCCCACGTAATCCCACTGCTATCAAGCCGATTACAGTCAGCTACACAGGCATGCCTATTAGCGGTGATACTGTACAATCTGGGAAAGGTACAAGATAATGGTTGGTCACCACACCATAAATCCTCCCAAAATCGAACACATCTACCATCACGAACTTTGAATCTGATATAGGAAGAGAAAACATCCCAGCCCTTCCGAATGAATTTCCACACACCAACTCCTCCCGCGCTAGAGATTGGACGAGTAGACCAGCCGCCACTCTCCTCCCAAAAACGACATAAAACAAGCCTCATCCAAGGGCGATGCCTTTCCCTGCTGAATCTCCATAACCATTTGCCCAAGAGAGCTTGATTAAAGGGAACCAACGTCCGGATGCCCAGACCACCCGACTTCATGGGCTTGCAAACTTGTGCAAACTTGCTCCCATTTGACGAGATGATACTTAAACTCTTCGCCCCTTCCGCCTTAGAGAAAATCCCTTTGGATCTTTTCGATCCTTTTGGTAACAGATCATGGAATTTGGAACACAGATAAAAAATAAGTAGGAAGGCTCGATAGAGTGCTTTTTATGAGAGTAACTTTCCCCCCCTTGGACAGATATTGCTTCTTCCACCCTGCCAATCTCTTCACGTACCTATCAATCCCAGGATCCCAACTCCCTACCCTCCTAGAGAAATCCTCAAGGGCAAACCCAAATAAGGAATAGGAAAATAACTCACCTTACACCCAAGGACTGCGGCTAAGGAGGAAATATCCTGAACATCCCTAACTTGGACAAGCACGCTCTTAGCCACGTTGACCTTCAGCTCAGAAACCGCTTGAAAACAAACCAGAATGCACCTCAAATATCTAAGTTGAGACACATCAGCATCACAAAAGACTAAGGTATCATTCGCGAACAGTAAATGAGAGATCTCCAACTGATGAGCTAGATCTCTGCCCACCCTAAAGCCCTTAATAAGACCGAGATCCTCTGCCCTCCTCATAAGTCTGCGCAAGCCCTCCATTACGATGAGAAAAAGAAAAGAAGACAAGGGATCTCCTTGTCTCAAACCCCGAGAACACCCGAAGAAGCTAGTAGGAGACCCATTCACGAGAATAGAGAACTTTACAGACGAAAGACATGTCTCTATCCATTTCCTCCATCTACTTCCAAACCCCATTCTCTTAAGTAAGTACAGCATGAAATTCCAATTCACATGATCGTAAGCTTTTTCAATGTCAAGTTTTCATAAAACTCCAGGGACACCACTTCGCAATCTGGAATCCACACATTCGCTTGCAATAAGAACTGAATCTAGGGTTTGCCGTTCTTTTACAAAAGCATTATGTGAATTTGAAATAATCCCATCTATGACACCCCTCATTTTAAGAGCAAGAACCTTGGTGATGAGCTTGTAAATGCAGCCTACTAGGCTAATTGGTCTAAAATCTTTAATGTTAGAAGCTCCACCCTTCTTAAGGATGAGGGCAATAAAGGAGGCATTTAATGACTTCTCGAAGACGCCATTAGAATGAAACTCTTGGATGGTACCCATCACCTTGTTTCTCACCACCTCTTAACTTTCCATCAGAAATCGCATAGTAAACCCATTAGGCCCTGGAGCTTTGTCTCCATTGCAACTTGATAAAGCCTTTAGCACTTCCTCTTCGGAAAAAGGAATCTTAAGACCATCTCTATCCAACTCAGAAATAGCCTTAAAATGAAGGCCATTAAGCCTGGGTCTCCATCCTAAAGGCTCGGTGTAAAGCTTCTGATAAAAAGAGACGATCCATTGCGCACCTTTTCCTCCCTCCACCACTCCAGACCATCCACCCGGATTCGCCCTATGTGATTACTCCTTCCGTGGGCATTAGCAAGTCTGTGAAAATTTTTTGTATTACGGTCTCCCTCTTTGAGCCATAAAGCCCGAGATTTCTGGCGCCACGAGATCTCTTCCATACTAGCAACCTTATTCCACCTCATAACCATTGCTTCCTCCCACTAAGACCGAACTTTCCCTTTGAAGTCCTCCGCTCTCAGCCACATATTCTCAAATTGAAACGGGGAACACCGAGACCTCAGACCCCTACAATCCATAATCAGAGGAACATGATCAGAGGTGACCCTTGCTAAAACTGCCTGAACAACATTTGGGAATTTCTCTTCCCACTCCCCAGAGATCAAAAACCTATCCAGCCTTGATAAGGTAACTGGGTACCTGCCATTAGACAAAGTAAAGGCTACACCTTCCATTGGTAGATCAATGAGAAAATGCCCATCAATAAAATCAGAAAATTGTGTCATATCCGAAGACCACCTTCCCCCTGTGGACCTCTCTAGCGGAGACCTAACAAAATTAAAATCTCCACCTAGGCATAAGGAAGAGACTACAGTTCCTGAACATGGCAAAGCTCCTCCCAAAAGAGAGGTCGATCACTGTCAACAACTGGTCCTTACACCCCAGAGAAAACCCATCTGAAATTGTCCTCCTCCATCTTAAACACAGGACGCAGAGAACCTCCCCATTTGAGACAACCATTTGCAATCCCACATAACTAAAATTCCACCAGAGGTACCTGAAGCATTCAGGGCCTCCCATTCCACAAACCTTCCTTCCTAAAGACTCCTAACAACCCCATCAGAAATAGATGCCAACTTGGTTTCTTGCAGACAAACAACCTGGGCACCCCACTTCCTTAAAGCTATCTTTACCACCCTCATTTTGTCCGGATCGTTGAGACCACAACATTCCAAGTAATGATTCGTAGCTTCATTAAGAACCAGATAAAATTATCTCCCCTCCTCCCCTCCTTCCACTCCTACTTCTAGTCCTTCCCCTCTCCCTCACCGCCTCTCTGTTCTCTTCATAGTTGACATAAG